TTTTCGACAGGTGCAATTCCAACAATTTAAATGAACCGCGTAATTAATCTTTAACGCGCTAGCTGAAAAAAGCCTCCAGATATCCCAAGATTGTTGTAAATTATGTAAATCGGGCGGTATCATTAATCAAATTAGAAGGATGCATCCGTGGAAGAGATCATAGTTGGTACTTGGCCTTTAATCTATCGAAGGATCTTTAGTGACCGCAGTTTGCCAGCATCGCAAGATCGTTTGGCCCCCCAACTTTTCCACCGGTTTTAGTCCTGGCCTTCCGCCTCGAACGGAAATTAGCTCTTTTTTTATGTAGGGTTGCTTTCAAGCAGAGCTCCGCTAAGGTGCTGCTGGTCGATTTGTTTAGATCGTTGTTACGCTTTAGACGATAAAAAAGATTTTTTTCCCTTCCTTGACTCCTTTCTTATAATTAGGAACGCTGTCCCAGCTCAATAAAAAATCCATTATGGAATAATAAATGGGTCTGGAAGAACACAAACACAAACATACGAATAAATGAAATAAATTGAATCAGATTTTTCCCTAGATAATTAAATCTCTCTCCTTAGGAGATATTTGTTTTTCAAAGGGCACGTAACTTAAGAAGCTTACAGAACGGTATTTTGTAGATTGTCTCAAAGGGACTAAATAGAACGGCAGCAGTATTCATTGTGTAGCTACTTCCTCCACCCTTAAGAATGCATGCTGATTCCCATGGGATTTTTTATAATGGAAAAAAACCTTACGCGTTTTTAGATTATGACCCAAATATAATACATTAAATGTTCAAAAAGGGGGGAAATGAAAGACAGAGATTGCAATTAGTTTTTGTTTTATGGCAGTCAACAAATATTGGCTAACATCCTGGCACAAGGGATAGATTAAAAAAACTCATTAACCGGTGAAAAAATTAATTGAAATTAAATATTTGTTCTTGTGTATTAATAGTACATTATGTATCAAGTTTGATAAACGCCATTTAATTTAGGCACGAGCGAGCTTGCGAGCGGGTGCTTAATTATCATCACATTATCCGCAATCCACAACATAAAGCCACAACTTTTTAATGTTAAAGGTTATGTAAACATGTACGATAATGGGCGTTTTAAGGTGGGAGTAAAAAAAAAAGTTGTCAGGATTAAGAGAGTTTACTGATACGCTGCGGCCGCCCTAAGAAATAATAAAAATTTCTATATAAATCCAGAATGGTGTGATAATAAAGGAATAGTGCAGTTCTAATAAGAAAAAACTTATTTATTTGTTAGTGCGGTAATAGCTGGAAACAGATGTGCGAAATAGTCAGAGAGCTCGACTAATACGACACTACGGAATATTATTTCTTAGCCGCGTGAAATATGCTCTCTGTGCATGGCTAAATGGTAAAAAATTGTTATTGTTATCTTCCTGCCAATCCTGCTCCGGTAAATAAAGGTGCCACACCGCGAGTGTGTTTTTGCAAATAAATTCATTTCCCTCATACACGTGAATATTAATACTGATGCCGAACGTCCGACACACCCCTCTTGGATATACCCCTGTTTGTTTTGTTCTCATTTATTAAAGATAACATCGCTGCTCACCGTTAATATTAACCACTGCAACGCTCCAACATTACACCAAATATTTAGCCATGGCCAGCCAGTATTATTAATTACCCGTACCCTTTTTGTCACACTATGTCAATAATGAACCAAGATTCCCACAGTATATTGGGATTATGTGTGGAATAAGGTTTCCCTTGAATGTATGCCGCATTGGCAGGTTAAATTAACGGTAAATTTACGTTATATTAACCTTAAATTAACGTTATTTTGTATTAAGTGGGGAATTCAATTATGGTAAAATTAACTTTATGTTAGTTAAATTTAACTTCTTGGTAATATTTGGTAGTTTATTAATTAACGTTAATTTACCAGCAAGTTAAAATATATTTAGTCAAATATAACTTGTTGGTTGAAAAAATATTTCCAAATTAACCAAAGCTGTGGTTAATTTACCAAAAAGTTATATTAAAAGTTAAACTAAACCAAAATATGTCTAAAAAAATAACCATTTTCAAAGGTTATTATTAGTTATAATAACGTAATATAACTTTTAAAATAACCTACTTTTTAACTCATTAATAGTAAATATTACTAACTATAGTTAAATATTTGGTTTATTTATAGTAAATTTAATCTCTTAAATACTTAACTAGTTAGTAATATTACCAATAAGTTTCTTTTATTTGTTAAATTATACTGAAAAATAACCTTTGAATTTACCTTAAGGTTATAGCAACTGGTTGTTAAATTTGGGTTATTTTTTAATTAATAGCAACCAAAAATGTTAATTGTTGAATACAACTGGTTGAAAAACAAGTTTAAAAAATAAAAAATCGTAGCGCCAAGATTGTGAAAGCAATGAATAATTATAATTAGAAAAATAAGAGTCAGCCAACTATTAATCTGACAATGAGAGTTACGTAACGCTATGAATAAAAAATGATGAAAAAATAATGCGGTAGAATAGTATCTGAGCACCACTGGCGTAGTATTTAAAATACAAATTAATTCTGCTAAATTTACACAACGCGCTGCAGTACGAATTTTAGCCGAACGAGTATATCTTAAATTAGTTCTCTAAATAGAGATAGTCCAAAACTGGCCACACTGCCACTGACACAGCGCAGCGTATTAAACACTTTTTACATTTAATTTTCAAAGTTGATAACTAAAATTTATCTTTCCTTATTCCTCCTCGTCAAGCTTCGAGCCAAAGAAAAATACATTGTTCCACTTTCTTCCAATAAACGTAAAATACAGAACGCATAAACTAACAGCTAGATGCATAGACAGCAGGTGTTTTAACAGTAAAAATAATTAAATTTAAAGTTATTGTAATTGAACGCAAACGCAAACTTTGTATGCGACTTTATTTCCTTCTCTTCTCGACCCACTTCAATCAACATTCAATTCATTTTAATACCGCAATATAATCATTTTCCTAAGCCAAACGCATTTATAAAACAATAATCATTATTGTAAATATTAATTAATAATCTCTATATTAATTATTCAATCAATATTTACCAAATTAATATTATTAATATTAATTGTACATATAAGCATCATGTTTTCATTAAACCATCAATAATATTAAAAAATAAATACATACACAATACGTATCTCTCCTCTTTATACATTTCAGCGCTTTATCAAATTTTTCAATAAAATAGGTACTTAACATTTATTGCCTTTCCTTATAACCAACTTCCTCTTATTTCAGAATTACTCAATTTAGAAAAATCGATGCCAATTTTTTCAATAAAAAGTATATTTCGATACATTATCCCTCATACTTTATCCATCAAACTACAGGCCCGAAACATTTGCATTTTTGAGGCGCATTCACAATTTTTTTATATTATACATTTGTACCGACTTCTTTATGCGGACTTTATTTTTTACAAGATCTTTGATTACACAGATCTAAAAAATGTATACAGTTTAAATGGGTTTTATTGCATATTTGGAATCTACCCCCACGAGTTTGTTATGTCAAGAATTACGAATGAATACAACATCTGTTTCCAGCATGGTTTCTAGGTTTTGTTAAATATTTTTTAAAGTAGTTGTTTAAAGAAAGTATACAGACTAGAGGTGCAAATTTTAGATTTTAAAAAACTTTATACCAAAATACAATGTTAAAAGATTGTTAGTTAAAATTTGTTTAACATACCACCAAAGTTGTACTTTCTTAAGTATTAAAATTTATAATTGAAAGCATAAGTCAAATTTTTATCTAAACCAAACTCAACTAAAATAGTTATTTGTTTTACAAGTGTTGAAAAGCGACTTTTTCATCCGAGTGTTTAAGTTGCTCACGAGGCCGTCAGGCCGAGTGTGCATTAACACAAGCTTGAAGAAAGCTTTTCTCACAAGTGAAACACACCTTTACCACCCTTTAATTTTTTATTATTTTCATATACAAAACAAAATAACCTAAAAACGTGTTTGGCAGCTGTTAAAATTACTTTAATCTTATTCTTTTAATTTTTAAGGTATAAAAATCAATAAAATGAATAAACACATTCTCAATTTAAATAAAGGCACTAAAAATTAGTATTAATTATACAAACACAATTAATTGTTTTCTAAATGATATTTAGACAAATTTTGAAACGAATGTCAAACGATGCTGTCAATTTCTTTTCACACAGACCTGTCACTTTTCACACAGAAATGTCACTTTACATTCGTGTTTTGCCTTACCAATGACTATTTCCATCGTCTTAATTTCCACCATTCACAAACGCGCAATTTTGAATTACAAATGGTTTCTAGGTGAAAAAACTGTGTGACAGCACCTGACAGCAGTTTTTTCGAGTTTACCCGCGGCAAAATTTGACAGCTGTTGTCGCCAAAAATTGCAATTTATATTTTAATTGTTAACTGTTAACTCATGAAATAGTCTTGTCAAATACCATTCGGGCATCTAATTTTCCTGTGAAAAAAATCGAAAAAACACAATGCTAAGTAATATTTTTGAACAAAATGCATTCGTGCAGGTGCAAAAATCCTCCTCTTCGACTCGGATTTTTGTTGCCACCAGCACTTATGCTTCTTGTTAAAATATTACTTTTGATATTACTTACGAAAAGATTCATTTTCTAAGCAACGATGCCATTACGAAATGTGACTTTTACATAGTGGTCGTAGAAAAATTTAATTACAAAATATAAGGTAGTTAGAAATAGCCTTTAACCTGTGCACACCATCAGTGCCGGGTATCCATGTGGTGTGGAGTACACTCGAAACCCACTGTATGGAGGCATTTCAAAAACGTTAAAAACCGGTCAGGTTTCTATTAAAAAAAAAAATATTTGACAATTTGCCATTGCAGTGAGGATGGTGTTGGTTAAAAATTCCTGCGTGTAAAAAAGGTGGGCAATAAATAGTTTGTTTGCAGGGCGGGCGGTGCACCTTTAACGTCGGCGGGGCCCTTTAAACCGCAGAAACACCGTAAAGTGCAGTAGATTAATGTGCGGTATTCATTTTCAGGACATGAAAGGTGGATGGGTGACATCTACGGGGAGCAGCAACACGGCGGCCGCCGCCACGGCCGCTCTTGTGGCCGTTCAGCCGTTGCTGACCGCTCAGGCGGCTCAGCAATCGCAGATTCAGGCCGTCGCGACGCCCATTGTTATTGCTGCGGCACCGGCTGCTGCTGCTGCTGCCGCCGCGGCGGCTGTTACGCATCAACCTGCTGCAACGTGCACATCTACGCAACCCAAGCAGGACACGTCAAGTAAGTGATCATATTTACGACATTAATATGGCAGGACCAATATTATAAAAAAATTAAGCAAAGCAACCAAGGCTGTTTTGCAATATTGTTTTTAATATATATAGTAGGGTGTCTCTTATTTTTATTTTTTTACTCATACCCTCTAATTATATTTATTACTTGTTTATATACTCCCAGTAAAAATTTCAGCTCATTCTATAAACGGGAACCCGTGCCGACTTGCATCTGAACCCTCCGTTAGCCAACGTTAGGCGCGCGCGGTATTTTGTAACACGAAACACTTTAAAAAGAAAATATACTTCATGACTGTATTTTTCTAATGATTTTATTAAATATGATTACTAATTAATATTATTGCTTTTCTTTATATCATCTGTTTCACTAATTTAGTTGATTTTATCCCTTAAATATATTAATATACTAATTAGTATTGCTAAAATATACTGTTATATGAAATTTCAGCTTTTTATAAGCATTTGTTTTCTTGATGTCCTCCCAAAAATATTTCAGACAGTTCAATAAGTTTTCGGTAGTCATCTCTCACAATAGACTCTTTTAGTTATTTAGAGTAAAACCCATTAAGTTTATCAATTTCAGAGTTTACGGCCTATTCACCAGACCCTTCCGGGTAACCAGCCACTCCCTGTGAAAATATACATTTTTATCAAAGTATACACATAAATAAAACAACATTTGTCAATAATTTATAATATAAGGGTCACATAATAACAAACACAAAATGACTTAAGATCGAAGACCTCGCGACCAACCGTGTTACAAAATACCGCGTGCCTAACGTTGGCTAACGAAGGGTTTAGATGCAAGTCGGCACGGGTTCCCGTTTATAGAATGAGCTGAAATTTTTACTGGGAGTATATAAACACGTAGTAAATATAATTAGAGGGTATGCGTAAAAAAAATAAAAAATAAGGGACACCCTAATGTATAGGGAAGGCTCATCTTTCAATTTCGGCATTTCGGCGGGCACATTGAATAGAAAGTTAACAAGCCATAAATAAGTTAGAAAAACACTTTGAAACAAAGAATGGCGTAACAAACCAACGGCAGCGCAGATTTTCTTCGATACACTTACTTTGTATTCCGTTGGCTAAAATAACATACTGTTCCAATTGTAAACTGTTCGATTACCTACAACGAGAGATGAATAAAGGGACATATTAGCAATCGCTTCGCTAGACAAAAGCCCAACCTCAACTTTCAATTTCGATCGAATTTTTGCCGTAGTTTTCGAGCATCGTTTTTGTTTACGACGCCGCGGGCACTCGGCACATTATTTTACATTTAATCTGGCATTATTGTAGATAATAGAAATAACAAGTTTACTTATACAGGCTTTGTTACGTACAACTCTCATAATACATCAAATAATAAAGGGAACAAGTCCTACCTGAGGCACTTTAACTTTAAGCTCAAAGTATATTTAATTTAATTTTGTTTATGCATAAAATTTAACGGAGTAGCTACACATACGAGGAGTATATTGATTAAAAATAATTCATATCCCATTATTTTCAGATTTTTATTGCCTCAAGCCGTTTTCAGGCTGAAACACGACGCAACAAATCCTAAATCTTAATTTCTCTTTCCATTGCCCATCAGAAACATCCCCAGAATATAAAACTAAATACAAGCTTGAATTGATTTTCAAAACTCCCTTTTGTTTTCTTCTTAAACTTAGTTTTCCATTATAGTTACCGGAGTTTTATTTATTTATTTAGCCAAATATACCTTTTTTTAACCGCACCACCCAATTTTAACTTTTTTATTTTTTAATTTAATTTATTTTACAAGTTTTATAAGAAATTTAAGGTATTCTTTAAGCGCGAGCTGCGAGATTAGACACAACGCTTTACATCAATTTGGGTGGAAAAATACGACTACACGCTCATTTTTTTATTTCTTACAAATATTTACTCAATGTCACCACCATAACGTTGGTGACAACAAAATTCCCTAGAATAACCTTGTAGCAATTAAAAACATTGTATAATACAATGTTCGGTTAAAATTGTTATTTTTATGATAAATTACAGGTGCAAAAATATTTTAGGAGCATGTTAAAGTTGCGATGAGGTTGGCTTTCTATTAAAAACAATGTTGTTGTAATAAGCGAACGGATGAATTTTTAAAATGGGTAATCTAAAGTATAAATTGGTTAGAGCGTTATGGAATTTTAAATTGGCGCAAAATGGCAAAATCATAACAAAGTAGCGATAGATTTTAAAGGTTCAAGTTAAAATTGTTTGGAAAGTCCATGGAGATTATATTGTCCGTTGATATTTTTTGTTCGAGCATTTAGCAATAAATATCCCGGGGAATTTGTGAGAATCAAAGCTGTACCGGAAGTTTGCATTTAGCCAATTGTCATTATCTGCATGATAAAATATGAAGTCCAAAGGGAAAAGCGGAAATTTCGAAATTACCTTATGAATTAAATATCTATTGCGATGAAAACGGCGCAGGGGTGAATGTTAGTTTATTTTGGAAACTACGTTAGCAACAAAACAACATTTAACATTTTTAATTTAAAACTCTACTAATAAAGGGTTTTTCATTAAGAGGCATTCAGGATGATGACACGGGATATAGATCTGGAAAACATGTTTTTCAGCTTGATAGCAGAAAAATTGGCCAGCGAGATCATGTAATCTTACTCCTTTAGATTTATTTCTATGTAAGTAATATGTTCGGTAATCTAAAAGTAAAACACAGTCATTACCTTTTTTGCACCTTGTTTAATTCCACTTCAAAGATCTATCACTCCTATTGAAAAACCCTTTAGTACAACTACTAACAACTAATTAATTTTGTACGAAGGTATTACTTAGGTAACTGCAAATTCTAAGACTCATATCATCGGCTTAACTTCACAGAATCGCTATAAATTATTAAATTCTATCCTATTTATAGCCAGAGATTGTATAAAATAATCACAGCAACCAATTCTCTTTGTGACTGCAAAATTTCGACTACAACTTCTTCTTTTAAAAATAAAGACTGCCTTAATGAATAATCAAATCGGATGGAATTTTAAGTGAAAAGGTGCAAAGAGAAATTTTTTGAATTAATTAGAATTCACAAGGCGATTATTTTTTAATGTTTATTTCGCTGCTAAAAAACAAAAAAAAATGTTTTATTAACTGTGACAGATCCACCCCATCCTACCGGAATTATATAAAAATATATGCAAATTTTTACCTACATACATTCAAAATTAACGAAAAAATATCGTCAATAAACCGTCCGGGACATTTATAATGCCTTGCCAATAAATCATCAACTATCGTCCTGTTTGCACAACAAACCCAACCATTATTTTTAATTTAAAAAACGAACTGTGCCTCGGCGCATTCGCCATTTTTTTAAATGTTAATACATTTTTTGTGCATATATTCTGCACAAAATTATTGTTTAAAACTGATCGAATTTGCCGTAAAAAGGTTTTAGATGTTGAGAGTGATAGGACTTCGGTTCATCGGCATAAAAAAGGATAATTTGGAAATCCCTTTTCTATCTCCTTTGTTAGCCATTATGCTAATTTGTGTTATACTATTTAGATGAAATCTGGTGTATTTGTTGGGAATATCATTTACACGAGCTCGAGTTTAATAGAATTTTAAATTAAATATAAATGAAATAACATATGCATGGTATTAATAAGAATTCAAAAGCTTTCTCGAAAGTTTTTGCTCAATTATTTAACATCGTCCGGAAATTTTGTCTTAAAATGTTTTTAACTTTAAGTTGGTGATTTTTTGTTTTTATAATTAAATTTTCCTTTACTTTGTGCTTTTTTATTAGAATAAGTAATACAAGTTTAACTTTATAAATATTTTATCCCTAAGGACAAGTATTCCATTTTTCCGTTGTTTTAGCTTCTAAAAAATTATCGCATTTTTATTTAATTCATTATTCATGCATTTATGAATATTTTAAAAACTTATTTACTTATAAAATATTAAAATTTTAATGATTTTTCTACGATGAAATGTATATTTATTATTTACTTCGCGAAATTAACATATTTTCGAAGAGTCTGAAAAGTCATGTTAAATAATGATGTAAATATTATTTGCTTTAATTAATGTACTATCGCCTTTTCCTTCTTAAATTACTTTTTAAGTAAAATCACTTGTTGCTGTCCAGCCAAAATTTATTAAAGATAATACATTTTACTTGAACAGAATTACTTAGCGGTTTTTTTTCTTTAACTAGGCAAATAATAATCCAGTTAATAATTAAATTACAACTCAACCAAACTTTATTACTTGCTTAAGTTCACTGTAAAATTCAATACAGAATTTAATTAACAATTTAACATGTTCATGTACAATGTAAAACTATTACTTTGAACCTACAGCATGTTCTACCTAATAATATTTTCTTACTTGCGAAAGTATAAATCAGTTCAAATAGTCTTAGATTTCCATATAGAAATATTTTTAAAAATTTAGAAAATTTTTCAATTAATTTAAATGTGCAGTTTTCAATTAACCGGTTTAAATAAATTAAAGGTCATGGATGTTTTAATTACCAAATTTTATTCGAATCTGGGCAGTTTTTAATTATTCTAAACATTAATTTTAATGTGTTATTTAAAATAAATTAAATATTGGAGTAGTTTTCAATCACCCGAATAAATAATTTAATGTGCAGTTTTCAATTATTAAATTTTGGAATAACCCGAAAATGTATTACCTGGTTTTAAATAAACTAAAGGCAGTTTTCAATTATCCAATGTTGTTTGAATTCGGACAATTTTTAATTACTCCAAACATTAATATTAATATGCAGTTTGAAATAAATTATGCCTGGGTAGTTTTTAATTATTCAATTTTGTTCCAATTTGTGCAGTTTTTAATTACCCTAAACATTTAATAATTGTGCATTTTTAAATTACCTGCCTTTAAATTAATAAAATGTTATTAGTTAATTACTAAATGTCATTAATTAATTACCCTAAACAATAAATTTAATGT